TATATTACAGTTAAATATTTAATTTAATATAATAATTATGAAATGTAATTAATTAATTTCAGAAAAACCTGATTTTTGTAATTTTAAACTATTGGGCCTGATTTTTAATTTTGGAATAGTAAACACCTGACCCATGAACTTTTCCCTTTATAAGATCCTTGATGAGAAAACTGGGCCTGACAATATTTCTTTTTGATGGCTGGGTCGCGCATGATCCGGCTCTCCAGATTGGTTGTGAGCCCATTTGATGGCCTCTCGGGACATGGACCGATCTATCGTTTGATAAAAGATAAATTTCAAAGAAGTGGTTTAGTTGTTTGCATTTTAAATTCTAATTGTGTAAACCATGTTAATTGAAAGTAGCACTCTTGATTAGCAGGATTTCCAATCTAACTAATTAATTTAAAATAATTACTTTTTGATCGCTTCAAAGTATACAAAATCATGCAATCTTTCAAGTTTCAATACTTGACTAATTAATCATTCCTTAAATCTAGAAAGTAGGGTACGAGACATACAAAGTATTGTCTAGGTGGTTCATAATCCTAAAAAGGCTTCTCACTTTTTACCACTTGTCGGGGTATATTTTTCCTATGTAACAAACATGCATGGGGGTAGGGTGGGCGTGGGGATGGGGATGGAGTTGGGGTTGGGCAGGGGTAGGGGTTGGGGTAGGGGTAGGGGTAGGGTGGGGTATGCCATTTGACACAAAAACTTGTCATACGAAAGACAAGGAATTAGGGTTCCTTGATGGAAACAAATGGAAAGGCTCTTGCTTTATTATATCTCTTTGTTCTAGTTAAATACATATACATATATGTATGTATATATGTATATATATATTCAAGAAAATCTCTCTTTTAAACTCTTTCATTGGTTCTTCAGACATCATTTTCTCTGTTGTGCGTGATCAACATTTTCTTTCCCTATCCATATCCACATTTTTCATCTTAATATATAAGTGATAGAACACCATTGAAAAATATAAGTTTTTCTTGAGGTTGATCTAGAGCTTTGCCGATATGAAAAGTTGTTAATGTTAATCTTCTGCAAAAGAATCCATTTATAAGTCCTCCAAAATCTGCTTGTAATTCTTTGTTTGTTCATTTCTTGGTACATATGTATATCATATCCTCTCTTGTTCTTGTTCTTTTATGTTTTTCTCTCCATGTATGCAATGCTAGAAGTTTTGGTGTGATCAACAAGGAGCCTACTAAAAGATTTTTCTTCGCTACAAAGGTTTGTTCAAGTTGCTAATGTTGTTTAGCCATGCGGGGCTAGTTTAGTACACTGGATTGAACACGAGTGGACTAGAGATGATTAAAGAAAAGAGTCATTATTCACTATCTTGTCCACTCCTGTTCGTTCTATCGTACCAAACATGCTTCTAGTATTGTAATTACTGATTTTTGTGATTCTCGGTTTTAATGCAGAACAATGACAAGTTCAATCTCGCTAAGGTTTCAATTGACTCTGATGTGAAATCTTCAATATCAACAGCCAAAAAGGAAACCACGTTGAAGGAAAAGAAAGCGAAAGAATACAATCTCAAGAGAGTAATAGTACCGGGGGACACTCAAACCGATCAGTCTATGTCTTGGAGGATGCCTCATAAGAAAAGAGGACAAAAAGATCCAGGATTTAACTTGGATTATTTACCACCAAAGACTCATCCCCCTGTCCACAATTGATCAACTTCCCAACTCTCGTGAAGTAAATCACTGCACCTACGTTCTGTCCAACTAGTCGAGAGAGAATCAATAGATATCTTTTCCGAATTTAATCAGGAATCTGTTTGGGGACAGAATTAATTATCTAGAGGTGCATTTCTTGATTAATTACTACTAACTATCTAACAACTTTATACAATATAAATACACTGTAGGGCAAGAGCTTCTGAAATGTAATGCCTTACTAGATATCAAGCCTTTTTTGATTGTGTAATGTAATGTTTTGAAGTAATTGATAAGCACGAAGCCATACATATATCATTTTCCCTTTCAAATGCTTCTTCTTTCTGCTAATATTTCTCTTTCAATTATTATCTTATAGCATCCAAAAAGACTAACCAATATTCATTGAAAATGATGACAAGTTCGTTTTTATTGAAATCGAGAATATTAGACGTGACAATTGACAAATTTAATTACATAATCTTCCTCTATGATCATGTTTAGTGCTATCTAAATTCATCTTACATTATATTTCTGGACAATGGAAAGACAAGAAGTATGCAAACAGAATTTGATAGGATTTTCACTTCATCTTTTTTAATATTGGCGATAGTGTCACAAATAAAATCGACTCCAATTTTATATATTAGTCCAATCTTGAAGCAATAAAAAATAGTAGGTATTCAACTCCCTCTAATTCCTTTGCATTTTTATTTAAACTCTAGTTAGGCTAATATCTTTTGTCAACAAGCCAAGTTTATACCAGCTGTAATCAGGCCACTGTGGCTGATGTCATTTGGCATTTTAATATTCTGATGAAATCTGTTTTTTGTAGTACGATATATAGCCTTTGTTTGGCTCAATGAAAATGATATCAATCAAGTTCTTCTCCTTCTTTGAGTCAACATTTGGTATCAGAGCTAAGTGGAGAGAGAGGAGGAGGAGAAGAAAAAAAATCAGTAGCTGAAGGAGAAGCTGAAATCTGGTAAACTGAAAACTAAAAAAAATGTCTGGTCCAAGTTCATCTTCGTTACCTCTACCTGCTGTGTTCAATGGTGAAAACTATGATTTTTGGTCAATTAAAATGAAGGCATTCTTGATGGCTCAAGATTTATGGGAAGTGATTGAGCAAAGCTATGACAAACCGGAGGATGATGTTTTCTACACAGCCGCTCAGTTGAAGCAACAAAAGGATCAGTCCATGAAAAATATGAAAGCCTTGTCTTTCTTATTTACAGCTGTATCAGAAGAGATTTTTCCCAGGATAGTTGTTGTAACTACAACTAAAAAGGCATGGGATAAGCTTGAAGAAGAGTTTAAAGGCTCAGAAAAAATCAGGGCAGTGAGATTGCAATCTCTGACTAGAGAATTTGAAAATCTCAAGATGAAAGAAACTGAGAAAGTTAAAGATTACACCTCAAAAGTGGTTGATATTGTAAATCAAATCAAACTAAATGGTGAGAAGATTTCAGATAAAAGGGTGGTTCAGAAAGTGCTGATTACATTGCCTGAAAAATATGATGTTGTTATAACAACCATTGAGCATACTAAAGACCTGTCAAGCCTTACTTTAACTGAGCTTACATATACTTTATTGGCTTATGAACAAAGGCTTGCATCAAGGACTGAGAAATCAGTGGAAGGTGCCTTTGCTACCAAACATAAACAGCAGTATTCCAGAAGTAACTTTGATAGGAGGCATTTTGATCTAAGGAAAAGAAGAGAAGGAACTAGCAGTAAATGGGGGATGAGTAGAGAAACTCTAGATTAACATCCTCCATGTGGTGCTTGTGGCAAAACAAATCACCTAGAAAAGTTATGTTGGAAAACACACAAGTGTAGAATGTGCAACAAAATTGCTCATCTTGAAAATTTTTGCCCTGTAAATCGCCCAAATCACACTCAAATTCATCACCAGCATAGATACCAGAATCAGCAAGCTACTCTGGCTTCTGAGAAGAAGGGTAAAGAGCATTTATTTCTGGCATTTCACATGACAAATGTGGTGGAGGAAGACTCATGGTTTATTCATAGTGTTTGCACCAATCATATGACCAGCAAAGAGGAGACTTTTTGCAACTTGAATTCAGATTGCAAAGCAACAATCAAGATGGAAAATGGTGAAGTTGTATCTGCCAAAGGAATTGGAACCATTGCTGTCCAAACAAAGAAGGGAACGAGGTACATTGATAATGTTTTACTTGTACCTGGTTTCAACTCAAATCTTTTAAGTGTTGGTCAAATGGTTTAAAATGGATATTCACTGAATTTTAAAGATAATTTGTGCAAGGTAGATGATTCAAATAATGCTGAAATTGCTTGTGTGCCTATGAGGAATAAAAGTTTCAGTATTTATTGGCAAAATGTGACTGCAAATGCTGCTGAGGTTAATCTTGATGAATCAAACCTATGACATAAGAGATATGGTCACTACAATTTTAAATCCTTAGCCAAGCTTCACACTCAAGGTTTAGTAAGGGATTTTCCTGCAATGCAAGAACTAGGAGGAGTCTGTGAGAGTTGCAATTATGGAAAGATGCATAGGGAAGCATGTCCAACTGATGGAGTATGGAGAGGAACACAGAAAATGCAACTGGTGCACACTGATATCTGTAGACCTATGAAAACACCATCATTGAGTGAAAATCGATATTTTGTACTCTTTATTAATGATTATACAAGAATGTGCTGGGTGTATTTCATGAAAAGTAAGTCAGATGTGTTTCACATATGTAAAAAATTCAAGGCATTTGTTGAAGGTCAGTCAGGTTGCAAGATTCAGGTTTTGAGGTCTAATAATGGGAAGGAGTATACCTCCAAGATGTTTG